ACTGTGTAAACAAAGTTTTCAAGGCGGTCGTAACATTGACCCGTCAACACCTATTTAAGTGGCTGACAGGTGAGTAATTGCTATCTGCCATGCTTATCACAGCATAGAAACCATGAGAGGACCGTGCTTTGATTCTGGTGCCAGAATTGCTCAGCAACCTGTGTTGCTGCTCATTGTTCCTGAGTTATCATAAGAGGTAATTTGTATGTTATTATGCTTCATGGGAGTTAAAGAACATTTGAGACAAGAGTCTGTGGTTTGTTCAGACATAACTAAGTTTAGCATGGGTTTTGCACTAAAATGCTAATTCTTTAATTCTTAAATCAGTTGATGTAAAAAGGTTTGTGAGGCCAGGGAGATGGCTCAGTGAGTAAAGCACTTGCCGCACAAGCATGAGGACTGGAGTCTGATGCCCAGCACCCGTGTAAAAACTGGGCATGCACGACACCCTAGCTATAATCACAGCCCTTTTGAGGCAGAGACAGAGAATACTCCAGGCAGGCCGGCTAACTAGATTAGCTGGGGTGACAAGCATTTACTTTAGAGAGATCCCACCTCAGTGAATAAAACAGAAAACAATCAAGGGAGACATCTAACATCAGGCTCTGGCTTCCACACACATGTATACACACCTGCAAACACAGGCATACACATGTATGCACATGGCAAACATACACACGTAGAGTGAGGGGTGCAGAGGGCAGCTTCAATTTGAAGATGTTTCAAAACCAAAAAGAACAGGTGGTTCCACATTGAAGGTGACCTAAAAATGTCACCAAACTAAAAGGCAAGAAAATGCCCAGAAAGTGCAGGATGGATGGAGGATCCAACACAGTATGCCTTGTCTACCCAAGATGAGGCAAAGTGAACAGCAACAGGACGTGACTAAAAATAGCCTCGAAGGACTGAAACTTGTGTAATTTGCCAAAGTCCAAAAAATCACAAGGAGACTAAAGAATGCAACTCACTGGACACTGTTAGAAGATACTGGGGACCAATTCACTCCTGGGGAAAGGAAGAGTTGAGCATGTAGCCTCTGTTCCTAGACAACTATAAGCAAAGGCAATGAAAAGTTGGTTAGGAAACTTAATATCCATATAAATATTCCAGGAATAAATGTAGCAGTAAGGGCAAAATGAGAAGAAGTCATTTGCAACTCCTGATGAGTTAATCCCCTCCCCCAGACAATGATTGTCAGTCCCACCAACATCCCGGGAAAGACAAGCAGGTGAGCAGATATCTCCAGTGGAAATGTACTGAGCTGCTTAAGAAGTAGGCTTGCCAAAAATATCAAGCCTGAACTCAATTAAACTCTAGTTCTAACTGCTAAACTTAAAGAGAATACAAAGACAGAGGATCGTGTTAATGGGTTCTTAGAATCAATAAGCTGCGTTCTACCTTTTGACATTGTGACTGCAAGTTGTCATCTTCAGAGAATGGGGCAATCAAGCTACAAAAAAAAAATCACACACAAAGCTCATAATATTTGAAGCTCACAATTTTCCCCTTAGAGGCATTCATAGCTCTCCTTTGACGACAGGCGGCCCATAGGCTACAGGTCAGACAACTTTGCTTAAATAAAAACTGCTTAAGGCTCTTCATCCTCAGAGCTGCTCAGAAAAACAACAGAAGACAAAAGAGAGAACTCTAAAAGATATGTCACCCATCACAATATCTAAACTTACAATGGCTTGTAGCTCTCTGCCATCTTAAGACAATCAGGGAACAGAAAAAGCCACCTTGCTGTTTGATATTAGATATCTTAGTTTCTTTTCCCACTGCTGTGATGAAATACCCTGGCGCGAAGGCAGTTCAAGGGAGGAAAGGGTTAATTTAACTCTCAGTCTCAGGTCTATCATGTCAAGGGAGCCACAGCAGCCAAAGCTCAAAAGAGCAGGTCACATTATATCCATGGTCAAGCAGCCAGCATTGAATCAATGCAAGTGATGAATCAGTGCCTGTGACGAAATCAATGCATACAAACAGTCTTTCCATTCTACACCGCTGGGGATCCACACACAGGGCACATGCCTGCCCACGATTAAGATGGTCTCCCCATATCAACTGATGTCATCAAGACAGCCCCTCACAGACATTCTCAGAGGCTGACCTTAATCTTGGCGGTCCCTCACAAGTATGCCTGGAGGCATGCCTCCTGGGTGTCCAGTTGGCAATGTTAAGTGCCATAGTAGGTAACTGTGTCTAATCACTTATTCTTGGAGTAATGATATCCAGGTTATGTTTCAGATACCAACACCCTCCCCATTTACTCTCCTCACGACTCTCATCCAAAGCAGCTGGATCACAGCTTTGATTATTAGCATTGAATCTAAGTCGGATGAGTCTCTCTCTCTCTCACTATCCATTCCTCGGTGTCGGGGTCCTGAGGACAGCACCTGTGATCCCAGCGTTGAATTGATATGTTTACGCTTCTATAGCAGAGAGAAATGTTACAAGACGCAGCGCCATGGCAGCTGGGATAGCCATCCAGAGGGGAGGGAAAGGCAGAGCAGAGAAACTTCAAGTTTGCTCACAAGCCAACAATTAAGGGGTTTATGTGATATGTGGGCAGAGATTCATTAACCTGTTTTTTCCTATTCTAATATGCTTGAAAATTTCTATATTACCCCCCCCCCACACACACACACAGGGGCTAGAGAGATGGCTGAGCAGTTAAGAGCACTGACTGCTCTTCCAAAGAACTCAGATCCAATCTCCAGCTCCCACGAGGCAGCTCCTAACCATCTGTAACTCCAATCCCAGAGGATCTGATGTCCCCTTCTGGCCTTTGTGGGCATTGCATGCATATGATACACAGCCATACCTGTAGGCAAAACACACATATAAACCTTTATTTTTATTGCAACAAATTTTAAAGAAAAACAATAGGTAAAGAAAACTACCATTAGACTAAAATACAGGAAGAGTAAATGTAGCTTTGGTAGCAAAATGCTGGCAGTGGAACTGTATACCACAATAAATTCCTCAGGGAATCAAATCTGGCTTTGGATGGAAACCCCTTGCCTATTTGGCTTTAAGTGAGAACCATGATGAGTCAGAAGCCACCACATCCAAGTTCAGGATCTTTAACAAGCACAGTCATGTCGAACGCTGAGTTCTCCCCAGATAAAATGCTCTCTATCGTGAGTCTCTGAGAGCAGTGCTGAGCCAGACAGCACTGTGTGTGGAACAGTGCCTCTGTCCACACTTACATGGCTGTAGTATTTCATTTCACTAGCCACCAGCCTGCAGCTGTTGTTTCTTAGTTCTCACAAACCTTGGTCTACATCTTACACCCCTGGGACTCTGTGTGCAGTGTCTTCAGCATGCTGCTAAATGGATGGCAAAAATATCTGCTTGGCCATTAAAAATAAAGGCTGGAGAGATGGCTCAGTCAGCCAACTTCTTGCTTTGCAAGCATTTGGACCTGAGTTTGACCCCCAGAACCCAGGCAGAAAAGTGTCAGGCCTGTAACCATAGCTTTGGAGGGTTAGTGGATTCCCGGGGCTTTCTGGCCAGCCAGCCTAACCTCTTTGGAAACTTCCAAGCCAATGAGAGACTGTCTCAAAAAGAAAGGTGATTGGTGCCCTAAGAACAACATCTAAGGTGTGTCCTCTGATATCAACATGCATGCTCCTACATCCACACATGAATGTGTGCCCCCTACACACATGTATATCCACACACCAAACCCTAACCTCAACACATAAACCATAACCTTAACACAATTGTGAAAACCTACAGTGAGATCAAAGGAGGTCGATAGAGTGGAGGATTATTTCTTCTGCTAAGAGGAATTCCCATCTCAAATATTCATTCAAAGAGTAACAAGAATGAGCAAGCCTTAGTGGTACACAATTTTTAGGTCACACTGCATCTTTGCTAAGTGCTTCAGATGACTAGACCTGTAGCCTGTTCTTAACCAGCGTGCAACATCAAACAACAACAACAAAAAACTAACAGTCTATTGAAGCCTTCATAAGTACAGCAGCCACTGTTTTCTACCTCCTACAAGGAGGAAGAGGAGGAGGCAAGGGATGGAGCAGAGGTGTCTACCAAGCTCCTAAAGACTCCAGAGAGGGTGATGAACAGACTAATCCCATTTTTTCTTAGCAGATTTTTAAAAATCAGAATGTTCTTATCAAAACAAATGGAATGCTATAATGAAAACAGTGTCAGCAGGCCAACATTCTTCAAGGTTTAAATCAAGATTCATGTCTTCTAAAAACTGTTGTCTGCTATTGGTCTTCTTACTCTTATCCATTTCTGTATATGTTTATTATTCGGAGGTTGTTTAAAATATGTGCTGTATCCTCAGCTGTTAATCACACCTTCCAAAGGTCAAATAAGGAGCTACTCGCTTTCTCTGTTCCTTTTAGTTCTCAAGTGGGAAGGTGGGGAGGGTAAAAGTGGGGACAAGGACAAGGACAGAGTCATCCAAAAGGCTTTTGCTAGAGAAGGAATGGAGAGAAAGAAAGTAAAATGGTTGGGGAGGAAGAAAGAGAGGGAGAAAAACATAGAAGGTAATGCTAATCTAAAACTAAAATATTGCATTATTGCTCAAGATCTTGGGTGAATAATTAGCTTTTCTAAGGCTAACTTAAAAACAAGTCTTGAGGCTACAAAAATGGCTCAGTGGTAGAGAGTTTGCCTGGCATGTGCAAGACTCCAGGTTCGATCCCAAACATGGGTGGGAGCAATAAGAGCAACAGATATAACAGGACCTAATTCATTAGAGAGACTCAGATGTTGAAAATAAATAACCTTATAACCAAGGTGGCTGAGGAGACACTACATCTCTACAGTAAAGAAGAATAGTGCAAGCACCTCAGAGTAACTGTTAAAAGGTGACCTGAAATGACCAGTTAACTTCAACTGAAAATGATCCAGTCAGATGCTTAATAATTTATATGGATAATTTTAAGGAGAATTAAGCAAGAAGTCATAAAGAGTTGCTTTGCCCAATTTAACAATGTATTACCAGTGACGAGTAACATTACCTCCGAGTAATTTGGCGAGAGGTATTTCCCATTGCACTTAGCCACGTGCCTGAGGATCTGCAAAGCTTTTTCTCCTTGCTTCCGTGTGATCAGCCAGCGGGGAGATTCAGGCACCACCCTGGCAAGGAGGGAGACAATGCAGGATTCTGTCAGAAATCTGAAAGCCCAAAAGCTCCTGGGTCTTCCTAGCCAAAGGGATCATGCAGCAAGTAGCTTACAGGTCAGGACAGTTCTCAGAATTGAAAACAGACTTTCGGAAATGAACTTTCTTTGAAAATTTACAATGAATGAGAAAAATGCTAACTTGCTACAATAAGAATTCTTCACATTACATAGCTTTTGCAAGCTCAGGGAACCCCACAGTACTGTGCCTCTGGATTAGGGCTTAGTTTATATCTAGGAGAAGACAAAGTCTTTACCTTATTCATGGAGCCTGATTTACCCACACATTAAAATTCAGTGAGGGAATAAATTACTATATTCCCCCAGTAAGAGTCAAATGCATACATCTGGAACATCTTGATAATTATTTCTCCAACATTCTTAACCTCTCATTAATCAGAGAATGTCAATTTGCTTAATGGGTTTTCTTATCATATTTAATCTGCATGGTGAAACATCAAGTTTGTTATCTCATAATTCTCATAAAAGCATCACAGAGGGTGTAAGTCATAATGCAGTTACTTCATCTGGAATTTTAAGGGGTAAGTCATAATGCAATTACTTCTTCTGGAATTTTGTATTGGGGTATTTTACTATTTGTCATGACAACTGTCAGTCAAGCAGCCAGTAATGTCCGTAAATTGTCAGAATTCTCTAGTAACTCCGGAAGCCAGAAGCATTTTGGAGACCCAGGAAATTGCCTCTATTGCCTTCATTTCTGTGTTGGTTTGGCTTCTATGCTCATGTGCAATAGGATTAATGCAGTTTTATGACCAACACCACCTTACCAGTAATAAAGGAGGAAGAGAAAGCTGGGCAGTGAGATGGCCAGCTGGATGCCCTGCCAGCTGGGTGTAAAGTAGGCAATTCCCGGTAGGAGGATGATCCCGAGGGTGAAAAACATCTGAATCACAATTCCCACGATCCTCCTTTGTTTTGAACCCACTATTTCTGTCACTGTAGGGAAATAGACACAAGAGATTAGGGGCGCTCTCGGCCAACTGCAAAACAAACAGACTTGACACCCGCTTAGTGCTAGAATGTCAGGACATAGAGGCTTCCATGTGTGCTGAACTGCTTAAGATGGCTCTCTAGATACTTAATGTGCATTTCTTCTGCTTTTTCTACCCTGGCATCCTCAGGCTTCCTCTGGGTATGGTTGTGGAGGGCAAGGAACACCTATGCCAGTTTTAGGATACCTCAACATGGCTATTGCAAAGGTCATTGCCATTATTAAAATAAACATATCAAGCTAGCTCACCTTTCTCACTGTGACGCTAAGGATTTGAACATTATAGTCCAGCTGGGAGATTATAATCATGGACATCATACTTCACCATCACAAGACAGCTTAGATTATGAATCCCACTGTTAGACTTTTCATGTATGTATCACATCTCTAAAATCCACCTGGGAAATTTCATAGCTGGAATCCTGACCTCCTCTGCACCTTCCCACTGGCTGGTTTTTCTGTTCTCAGCATCCTGAGGCATGTTTGCTGCCTTGTGGCCACCCTAACTTCACAGTCTTGAACATCCCCATAGACTCAGGTCGTGGTAAAAATGCCACACACTTCAGTTATCTCTCTGTTCCAGCCAGTGACTCTCAGGCCCTCCTTGTACCCTCTCTCTCCTTTTCCCACCATAAAAAGAGCATCAGGTACCTAAAGCATCCCTGCTAGGGTCTCACACAGTAGTCATGGGAAGTATTGGAAATTTGAACATCTGGGACAATACTATCAGATGATCTGTCTTATTGTCTTGGTCATAAACCCTCTACCACTTAAAGTAAGTGTTTGAGTTCTACGAGATCAGAACCAAAGGTAGCAGCCTGGATCAAAGGCATGTAAGCAAGGGACAGTGTCTCAAATTCTCTATCTGGTTCCCATTTTAAAAGAGCATCTGGTCTCTGTGGCAGCTGGAGACCCCCCCCAAGGCCCTGTCCTACTAGTGGAAGTGCAGCTATGAGGTCTCCAGGATTTCACAGTGGGGGGTGGTGAACCAGACCTCTCCCCATTCTATTTCTCACAGGGAAGAGTGGTTGCAATAAAACAAGTCTTACCAATCACGAAGCAGGTCATCCATGCCCCCTTTCCAAACACACCTTGCAGGAAGCGGAAGATGACAAACACAGAAAAATTTGGTGCAAATGCCACCACGACCCCTGTGACGCCAACACCGAAACAGGATATTAAGTAAATGACTATCCTGCCATACCTTTATGAGAAAGAGGAGAGAGAGAACCTTAAACGTGGTCTTCAGCATAATGGAAATGGAATGAGACAGGATACAAAAAGAAGTCAAATGTGCAAATAAATAAATAAATAAATAAATAAATAAATAAATAAATAAAAGTATGTGTCCTTTGTAACTTAACATTTACAGTAAACAATATTGATAATGATACCTGTGAAACCAGGTGGAACTCATGTCTGGGATGACATTACAAAATTAACAGCCCACAACACGTCCTTTGAGACTGAAGATTTCCCTGTGGTGACCCTCTCTGCCATGCTGCTCTTGCACAGTTTCCCTGCTGGCCTGGTTCTGACATCTGCTGTCATCTTTGTGGGTGGCGTCTTGGGGACGTGGGGCAGAATGAAGGCAGCCATGGCACAGTGTAGAAGCTTCTGTTTCAATCTCGCCCCATCCAGACACCAGCCATGACCTTGGGTAACTCTAAGACTCAGGTTGTTTGTTCTCTACCCACCCCTTTTCTCTAGTGAGTGGCTAAAAGGAGTAAATGGGGTTCTAATTTGAAAGCTATGAAGTCCCCAATCAATGTGCATTGCTATTGGTTCCTTGTGATTTATAGAGCTTCAGTCATATACCTCAGACAAAGGGGCGGGGCACTGTGGTCAGCTTCCCAGTCTGCTGTGAACTGGGCCAGGTGACTGACTGACAGGAGACCTTTGAAAGCTTCCTTCCTATGTGATTTTCCTTACAAATTTCCACCAACGTTCTTACTTCTGCATCTTTGCATTAAGGGTAGAGAAGGAAACAGCCTTGATGTACACACGTGTCTTAAAAGTCAACTCCATTTTTTAAAAACAGTTTTAGGTTCAAACAATTTAAGCAGAAAAGACAGAGTTCCATGCACCCCTCCTTTCACACATGCATGGCTTGCCCTGTCACCGATTCCCTCACCCAGTGATGCATCTGTGACAATTAATAAGCTTAAGTTGACATATCATTACACAAGTCTACAGCTCACAATACAGTTTCAGGTTTCATTTTCCAGTGCTAGGGATTAAACCCAGGACCTTGCATGAGGAGGGTAAGGGCTCTGCTACTGAGCTACATCCCACCCAAGGTCCACTCTTGTGTTGGGCATTTCTGTGGGACTCAGTCACCCTTCCACATCATACAGAAGAGTCTCGTGACCTTAATTCATTGCTAGTAGGAATGCAAAAATGATGCAACCCATTATTTGTTTTTAGTGGTCATCACTCATCACCCCAAGCAACTACAAACTTTCACATTGTCTCCACAATTGGCAATTTTTTAGAAAGTTCTACCGATTTATAAGAATGTTCTAAGATTCTGTAGGATTTGTATAGTATGCAGTCTTTTCAGACTGGCTTCTTGAACTTAGCAATGTGGGCTTAACTTTTCTCTGTATCCTTTTAGGGTTCCTAACTTTTTCTTTTTAGTGTGGAGTAATATTCCACTGTTCTGGATATAATCTGTTCATTCACTGACTGAAAAATATATTAGCTGCCCCAAATGCTGGCAACTGTGCATAAATCTGCTGCATGGTCCACAGGAGAGCCTACATGTGGATGAACACTTTCCAGCCTAATTGGGTAAATACCAATACTGTAATTTCTAGTCCTGTGCATTTAGTTTTCTGAGAAAGTGACAAGCTGGCTTCCCCTCTGCTGTGCCATTATGTGTCTTACCAGCAACAAAAAGCAGTTTCTGTGTTTCCACACATGATAATATATTATCCTTAATTTATTTAGTTTCAAAATTGCTAAGTGTATGGGTGTTTTGTCTGTGTTAGGAGCCATTACAAGCTGTGCGCATGCGCACTAGGTAACTTTGTAACTTTCCAGCCTTGGTCTCCGCCCCTCCCGTGACGTCATATGGTCCGATCAGCTGACGTCATATGGTCTGACGAGCTTCAGCCAGTCAGAGAGTAACAGTCTGAGGCGGCGGTTGCCAGCCTATATAAGGAAGGGGTTTTGGGGTGTTCGGAGTCTCTGCTCTGTAAGCTGATGCTCTCTCTCTCAAGACGCATTAAAGCTTTACTGCAGAAAGATCCTGATTGTGTCCCTGCGTCGTTTTTGCTGGCGAGACGGTTAGCTCGGGACAGTCTGCATGTAGCTCTGGACCATGTGTGTACAATGCCTACAGAGGCCAGAACAGGGCATCGGATCCCTTAGAACAGGAGTTACAGACAGTTGTGAGTTGCCATGTGGGTGGTGGGAATTGAACCTGGGTCCTCTGGAAGAGCAGCCAATGTTCTTAACCATTGAGCCACACTTCTCCGTCCTTTATCCTGTGTTTTTTGTACCTGTGTTTATGAAAGCCAAAGGCAATGAGATTTTATTTTCTTTTAATATGTTCATCTGATTTAGGCAGTAAGATAATGATGATGCCACAGAATATGTTAGGGAGTATTTCTTTGCCTTTATCTTCTGAAAGAATTGGAGACAACCATGAAAAATTTATTGCCTACATGGTAAAATTTACCTGGCCCAAATCTGAACCTGGTAATTCCTGTTTTGGAAGGTTATTCATTATTGATTCAATTTATTTAATAGACACAGGCCTATTAAAATAATTCACTTTTTATATGAGTTTAGGTAAGTCGTGTCTTTCAAAGAACAGGCCCACTTGATCTCAGTTGTCAAATCTGGGGCCATAAAATCATTTACATTGCTTCTTCATTATGCTTTTAAAGCTATGGGATTTGAAACCATTTTCAAGCCATAATTAATGTGAGTCCTATGTTTTGTTCTCTTAGTTACCTTGTCTAAAAGCTTATTAGATTTGGGGGCTTTCCAAAGAACCAGCCTTTAGCTATTAATTTTCTGTACTTACTGTTTTCAATATCTTTGTTTTCTTTTTGTTCCAGTTTGTACCATTAACTTTCTTCTGTTCATTTAGGATTTAATTTGGCCATCTTGGTTGTTGTTATCTCACATATGAACTCAGATTGTGGGTTTTAGATAACTCTTATGTTCTAATAAATATATTAATGCTATAACTTCCCTTCTGAATTGTTTTTGCTACATTCACAATATGATGGATTGTTTTATCTTCACTGTGTTTAAAATATTTAAAATTTCTCTTGAGATTTCTTCTCTGTTACCAGAAATATGGATGCTTAATTTCCAAGTATTTTGGGGGTTTCCAGTTTCTTGTTACAGAGTTATTGTTTAGTTTCTTGGAGACAAAAGATTAAGTGTGGCATGACTTTCTCGTCCTTTAATTTTGTTTAAATGTATTTTTTGGCTCAGAACATAACTTTATTAATGTCTTTCATGTACTTAAGAAGAACCTGTATTTTGCTGTTGCTGGATGGAATGGTCTGTAGATGTCCAATATAACCAGTCGATTGATGGTATTGTTGAATTCAGTTACATCTTGATTGCAATATTCTGTTGGTTGGACTTTTACACTTCAGAAAGAAAGTATTAGAGTTTCCAACTACAATGAGGGATTTATCTGTTTCTCCATGTGCTTCCATCCTGTATTTTCAAACTCTGTTGTTAGGCACATATATGTTAAAGATTGTTGTGTCTTGTTGAATGATTATAACTAATCCCAAGTTTCCCTTGTGAAGTTTGTCCTTCGTAGTATTAATGCAATGAGTTCTACTTTGTTTTGGTTATTCTTAGTGTAGTATATGTTTCTGCACTCGTTTACACTTCACTGTGTGCATCTTTATATTTAAAGTGAGTTATTTGTAGGCAACATATTGTTGAGTCTTCTTCTGATGCACTCTGAAAACTTTTGTTTTGTTGTGACTGAGTGTTGGGCCAGGTATAAGCTTGGGTAATAGAGTTCTTGTCTGGAATACATGAAACCCTATATTGGACATGGTGGTATGTGTCTGCAACCTAGCACTTCTACTAGGATAGACATAGGACAATCAGAAGTTCAATGTCATCCTTGACTAAATAGCAGTCAAGGCTAACCTGGACTATATGAGACCCTGTATCAGGGGTAGGGAGGACCCTCACTGAAGCTAGAGTCTGTCAAGTCATCTAGGCTGGCTGGCTAGCAAGTGTCTCTGTCCCTGCCCTCCTGCACTGGAGTTACAGGTGTGCACCCTCATGCTCAGCTTTGATGTGAGTACTGGGGATCCAAGAGTCCCTGTGTTTGTACAGCAAGCACTTCCCCCACTGAGCCATCTCCCTAACCACCAAACCTTGTCTTCTAATAAACCCATTAACGGCATTTTTGTTTCACAGTGTTTGATCTCTGGCATTTCTTTTTGATTCTTAGAATTTCCAACATTGTTTGCATGGTCCATTTTTTTTCCCCACTGCACTGTATCTATTAATCACTTACCATATTAAACATAGTTTGAAATTTGTCTGGTTTGACAGCTCTGCCATCCTTTCCATGCCCATGTCTGGCTCTGATGTGTGCAAGCTGTGGGTTTGTCTGCTGGCATTGCATGGTTTTCTTTCATTTGCCTCTTAGGATGCCTTGTGCCTAAACTTTGTTTATTTAGCCTGTGGACAATGACATTGAGGACATGTCCCTTTTTCTGTCTTACTTTAATTGGGACATGGTGGTTAGAATTAGACTAGTTGGTGAGTAGAATGGGCTGAACTTCTGTATTTTGCTCCTTCCACATGGAAGGCTAGCACTGCCTTGAGATAGGTATATCTCATCCCTCGGATCTGACATTCATAATTCTGCAGCCTAGGTTCTAATTAAACAGGCTTGGTTTTTGTGTTTTGTGGTGTGTGTGTGTGTGTGTGTGTGTGTGTGTGTGTGTGTGTGTACTCGTGTGCATGCATTTAAAAGCTCACACATGTGCACATGTGTGCAAATGTGTGTGAGTGTGCAGGTGCACAAACATGTGCGTTTTCTGGGAGCAGGCCTTCTTGTGAACAGAAGCATGGAGGGGTTTCTCTTGATAGTCACCATGAAAACCTGGTAGACTTACTAGAGGTAGAGATCACAAACATGGGGCTGGAGAGATGGCTCATCAGTTACAGTCCTCACTGTCCTTCCTGAGGACCTGGACTCAATTCCCAGCACCCACACCAAGATTCACAACACCTGTAACCACAGTTCCAGGGAACCTGATGACCAGGTCTCCCTGGATTTTCCTTTTTCTCTCCCCTCCTCCCTTTCCTCTACAACTGATCTATCTTTAGCCATATCCTAGGGTTTTTCCAGTCTCAGAGTGGTTCACACACTAAGCTTCCAACACTTTAGCAATTCAGGTCAGGTTTTCATTACCCAGCAGCCTCTGCTCCAGTAAATTCAAGTTACTTGTATCTGCCTAGCTTTCCAATTTGGGGAGCAGCTGCTTGCCCTGTGACCTCACAGCTGGGCAGAGTTGCTGACTTTGCAGCTTGCTCAATTTCATACTTGTCAAGTCTGAGGGTGATGGAAGCTTGAAAGTCCCTATCTAGATTCTTAACTCACCCTGCCTCATTCTGTCTTCCCATGGCATGGGTATATGCCTATTGAAATGCCTCTCAGATTGTAAATCACAGGCACACAGGAAGGGAAGACACCTAACTGTGGTCAATGCTGATAGGAGGCAGGGTTACTTATAGCTTCTCCTCTTAAATCAGCTACCAGGGAAGACCCTCAGCTCCTGACTACAGCTTAGGTCCTCTACTATGTGGAGTTATTTAAGAGATATGTTTATTGATCATACAGGATAAAATATGTAAGTAAAAGCCAATAAAAACTAAAGTTACAGTAAAAAATAGCTGGCTTGATGCTGAATGCCTGCAGTTCCATAACTCAGGAGACAGAGGCAGGGTGACTGTGAGCGCTAATCTCATCTAATATGCATAGTGAGACCCTATCTAAAATCAAGAAGACAAAACCAGAAAGAGAAACCAAACATAAATAAAAATGTGAAAAATGCAATCCAAACTGTCGCCATTGAGGAAAGAAATGAAATGTACTTGAAAATCCCTTAACAATGTTGAGAAAAATTCTTATCAATACAAGTTGTAGAATAAAATACAAAAAAAAATTAAAAAGTGAAAAACTCGGAGTGGTTGACTAAATTAACCAAATCCCAACCACTGGATTGTTTTGAGTACCCTAAATCCACCCCTCACCTGTCTGTCTCCTGAGCCATGGCATCACTGCCCTGGGACCAGTGTTTTCCCTGGGACACATTCAGACACACAGGGCACCTTTTCTACCAAGGAACAGGGAGAGGAAGTTTGAAAAGGAAAGAATTATTCAAACCAAGCAAGTGTGGATATCCTGGGCAGTGGAACAAAAAACTGAATGTAGTTAATAGAAAGCATTCTCCTCCCCATACATGTAGCGTTATAGTGAAGCAGCCAGTTAGCCTACCGGTACCTACCTGTCTGCTGCATAGCCCAAGGTGAATGCCCCAGCCAGGAAGCCAAGGTTCAGGATGGCTTGGGTGAGGTCCAACATCCAGGCATTGACACAGACAAGGTCAAACTGGGGAAACAAAGAAGAACACATGAAGATACCTGGGGAGGTTCATCTTCAAAACACTCTCTAATATAAGTCAACAAGAGTTTTGCTTATATATGCCTCGTGTAAAATATGAGGATGTATCACAGGCATGTATATACATTGATCTATGCAAAGGGGTGAATTCCTAGTATACTATGAATGCTGACACTTTAAAATAATGTTAGGTCAATCTGTAGTGAGTGACTATGGCATGTCAATGCCATGGCAACCACCTGTTATCACCTAGCATGATGAGCTTGGTAATTTCACTTGCAGTGAGCTATACAGAAACTGCATTTAATTCTCAAAATCATTCTGTGACACTCTGACCCTGATACATTAAAGGAAGGATTCTGTTATTAACTCAAGCTCTCGGAGGTATCATTCCAATTTTATGATCATGTGTGTGATTATCAGAATAATGCCCACTGGCATTAGACATGTATCAAACACATCTAGAGAAATGTGCAAAGAAATTCAGAAAGCAAACAGATTGCTACCAGAAAATCCAACATTTTGCTTTAGAAGAGTACCAAGCAGCATCAAATATAAAAACCTGCACAGCAAGATTTGTTTCCAACTGCTGATCTTTAAATAGCTGGGTTAGGAAGAAGAGACAGGCCTGGCCAGCACCCAGCACCCGGCAGGATGAATGAGTTTCCTCAGCTCCTTTCATGTTGTATGAGCTTAAATGTCCCAAATTGTCTTTAAACCCATGGAATTCTTTAATATAAAAAGGCTTCTCCTCTTTGTTCCTCCATAAGAGCAACAATCAGAAAGAAATTTTATGCCCTGTATTTATATAGGATTAATTGAAGACAGATACCTATTAGCACTTTCTAAAAAGCTTGGAAAGCCATCTGGGCAGATGGTTCCTGCTCTTCTGAGCATTCCAAACACCAGGGACCAAAGGCAGATGTTGCATTTCTCAGTGGCTTTGCCACTGTGGAGCTGCTGGGGTTTAGGGGTACAAGATCAGAGGGAAGGGTTCTGCTTCTACTCCTATCCTGGCTATGACAGTGGTGACCGGTAGCTGGTGTCTAGAGGTGTTTGTCATTCAGAGCTTGCAGCACTGACCTAGCCACATGTGGTCAAAGGGATGACCCCATTGGGACTGACATGGGGATGTCAAAGTTGTCATCAGACTGGGCAGGGCTGACTACCAAGACTGCAGAGCCTACATTCCCTTTCTACTTTTTTCAGTCCTCTAAATCTGTGGGCTACATAACTTATTTTCTATATAAGCACCAAATTTCAGGGATGTTGTCCTACTAACAACAACAGAGGATGAAAAAAAGTGATAAGTGGAGCCATTCCAAATGGTTCTGAGCCTGAAGGTTAAAACCATCAAACTCTTCATCATTGTGAACATCAATGGTGGCTTCAGCTTCACATCAGACGGGGTGTGCCCCTACTGTGTGTGGCACAAACCAAAGCAATCACACATCAATTTCCAAAGCGAGTTCCATTTTAAATCAACAGCAGGACACTAAAACAGAGCCCTGATGAAAATATAATAAAGAAGAAAACATTTTGGGTTGGAACTCTAGTTCTTATGGTCACAATAATCACATTTTAAAAAATAAGTAACCCAGGCTGGCCTTGGACTCATGATCCTCCTGCCTCTACCTCCTTCAGCAAATCCTCCTGGGGTGTACCACCACAACTGGTCAACAAAGTTTTGGGTGTTTATTTTGTTGTTTTTTCAAGATGGAGTTTCTCTGTGCTGCCCTGGCTGTCCTGCAACTCACTCTGTAGACCAGGCTGGCCTCGAAATTAGAGATCTGCCTGCTTATGCCTCTCATATGCTGGGATTAAAGGTGTGCACCACCACCACCCAGCAATGAACACATTTTAAAATAAGATCCAGTGGCACTATTTGGAGATCATTTAATAATAGCAAGTTAATGCTTTCCTTATATAAGATATGAACCATTATGATAAGCTGCAGGTATAAAAATGAATCACAGGTATTCTAGCTAACTGGGAGTTGGTGACCTTGGTGCTAAGCATCTGAGACTGGGAAGGAACATCATTGGTGTTCAAAATATACTTTCTGTCTTTGTGAACATGGTTGGAAAGCCAGGGTCAATTTATGGGAAACAAAAATGCACCAACTGAGATCTAAATGGAGTATCTAAATGGGGGAGATTTAGAAAAATGACTGGCAGGAGCAGAAGGAGTCGCTTACACCAAGCTGGATTTATATTAGAATAAATGGCAATGAGGGGTGCTTGAGGCAGGAGAGGTACAGGCAGCAAGGTGGGCATTGAGGAGGGTCTGTGCACACACGGGGCTCTGCAGGTCAGTGCTGAGCCCAAAGCGCACCTTGCCCCACTTGCAGCTGGAAGTGCCTGTGGTAATTGCCCAACACCAGTGACAAAACTCAGTGTGAAAAGGCACATTAAGGGATAGAGGCTCTTAGAACCTGCTGTACCCAGAGCCCTTCTCTGGAGTTCATCATAGGCATGGTCAATGCATTATTAACAAAATAAATTAGAAATGATATGGAGAGACTTCTCAAACACATGGCTTTTTGTCTGAACTTGTGATACTGGGAGAAATCTAAGTACTAGCCCTGTTTGATGACATTCATGCCCTGGGGTAGGCTAACAAGAGCCTCCTCCCCCCATCACAGAGGACACATCACCCATCCCTCGTTTTATTCCTTATCAGTGAAGACATGCAGCTACTTATTTTGATGTGTTTGTAATTTCTCTATTAGGGCTCTATAGATGAAAAGTTCTCAATTCCTGCAGGGGCTCAGGGCAGGGAAGTGATGGTTCTGGGGTTAGATGACCTTGGCTCTGCCCTTGTTTCCACATTTGCTTCCTCTGGTGAGTTTTGTTGAGCTTTAAGCCCTATTGTGTGCTGAGGAGGCGAGATGCACAGAGAGAGTTCAGTCTAGTGTCTGAGACAGGAAAATCACTTGGTAAATGATGCTAACTACATCATGACCAGTGTGACACACAACACTGATATAAATAATGTAACTGATGGTTTTACAAAGTAGCTTTTGACACCGGATGTGCCCTAGAATTATCTGGATTAACAGAAAAAGATGCATGAGCCACATACAGGCCAGCTACACCAGAATCTAGCCTAGGGTGTACTAGATGTGTAGAAGCTACCAACTGTGGAAGGTGATTCAGGGGACAATTAGCTTGAGCATATTTTACTGCATTGATAGTATCTGCCCTCAAACGTCATGTCAAAGGACCGTCTCTGGGAATAGTCTGCAGATGCAACTAATTATGTGAAGTAACACTAGGTCATGGCGGCCCCTAATCCAGGCAAGTTGTCCTTGTAAACAATAATAACAATATAGAAGTCTAGCAGCCAGGAGAGCTTCGGACTGAGGAAACCCACAGGAGAGAGGCTGGGAATGAAGCCTTTGTGGAGGCTGCAGACAGGGAACTCTGGACATTCCTTCAGGGACCCAATGGCCCCGCACACCTGCAGACACAGCAAAGCTCTGTGCACCCATAGAAACAATAGTGCCAACAATGTGGCCCTGCACACCTTCACACATAATCATGGCCCTATAGACACCCTGAGTTTGGACTTTTAGCGATCTAGGAGGTGGTTTTTTTTTGTTTGTTTGTTTGTTTGTTTTTTTGTAAATCATTAGGCCAGTGCAAATTTCAGCCTGTCTTCTCCATTCCTTTTTCTGGGAAAGAAGATGCCCTTTCCCTCCATTAGTGAGGCCCAAGGGGTTGGGAGAAGAAAGGGGGAAAGGAAAGAAGAGACTATAAGAGGAAATGTCGTGGTACTGAAGGTGTCCCTGGCTTTATTCCAGTCACAGGAGACAGAAGACAAACACTCTTGTTCTTGTCTCCTCTGGCCCTCGTTACCACCAAGGCCTCTTATCCTGACCCAGTGGTCCAGCCTGTCCTGTGGTGGGGCTGGGTGAACAATCCAGTGCCCAGTAAAGGAAAAACACCCACACTTGACTGGCTCGAGGAGACTCTGGATCCCTTCCAGTACTGCAAGCAGGGATCAGCTGCCCCAGCGGCTGCTCAAAGGAAGGCTTACAGTACCACCTGAAAGTGTGCACTGCCCAGATGGAGGACAGCAAACAGCAGGCAGAGCAGCTGCTCTAAACCCAATAGACTCCATGGGATGCTTGCGAGCTACGACAGGGTGCTCTGTGCAGTGCAGTCATCTCCTGGACCCCCATCTCCTGGGAGAGCAGGGATGCTGCTCTACATGGCTGTACAGCATGGTCCTCAGGGTCTGGGAACCCACAGGAAGTGCACCCACATTCCCATCCCTCTGTGCTCTTCCCCTCACCTCATCCCTACCCCTAGGTGGCACTCCTTGTGACAAGGCACCCTTGCTTCTTCATCTGCTGTCCAGGCCAGGGAAGTCAGGGGAAGACTTGACAAGGTTTATTAGAGGACTGAGGCAAAGTCTCAGGCAGCAAAGCACTGGCAAGTGTGAGGACCTGAATTTGGATCTCCAGATCCCAGGCAAAAAGCTGGGCATGGGGCACATGTTTGTGAATCCAGGGATGTCAGGGATGGGGGAATAGAGGCAGAGACAGGAAGACCTCTGGAGCTCTCTGCCATGCTAGCCTTGCCTATGTGATGAAGCTGCAGGTCAGTGAGAGACCGTGTTTCAAACAAAAGGTGGAATAAGACATGACCTCCACATGCATGTGTATATAAACACATGGTGTGCATACATGTGCATGCACACACACACACACACACACACACACACACACACACACACACACACACACACAATTTTATTAGAATAAGGATAAGGTTTAATGATAACCACACTTAGAGTGCCTGAAAAACAGCATTGGCTGGAAGGACAGTATGAGAACAGAGCTGCAAACATCCTGTGGCACCATGCCAATCCGTACTCATAGATCCTTCTCTTCTTTCATTCTTCTTCCTCAAGATCCCTCAGGGCTCACTGATGAAGAGGGGAAGGGCAGATCTTAGAAGAAAGAAAATACCTGGTGGGGT